TATTGGGATGCCTGGCCAAACTTGAGTGGTGTCTGAGGATTTGATGTTAGTAATATAAAAATGTTAACTTTTCAATTTTCTCTGCTTTTGACAGTTATGTTGAGGTTCTGTAGAATGTCCTTGTTTGTGGGAATTGCACACTGAAGTACTTGGGGATGAGGGGTCTCCTGTCAGCAACACACTTATAACTGGTTCGGGAAAAGAAGATTTGGTACTGTGCTTCCAACTTTTCTATAAGCTTCAGATTGTTTCAAAGAAAGAAAAGCATGTGACCCTAGGGGGCCTATTTATTGTAATAATTAAGTAGTAAGAATGTTGCACTAAAAATGTGTGGTGGTGGTGGTGTTCACCGTGGCGCATGCATGTGTTTGATGCTATTTTGTGTGTGCCCCTGACACCTGACCATCACCCAGGCCTGGCACTCATGACCCAACTGGAGCCAAACCTTCTCCTCCTTGGTTTGTCTCTTTAGACGTTGGGGCCCATCTGAAAGATCAATATAGTGTGGGTAAATGCCCATAGTCGATGTGGCCAGTATAGTTGTAAAACCTTTAGTATCTTTGAACTACATCTAATTTCTAACTTTCTATTGCTTCTGGTGATCCCAATTTCAGGGACCTAGGAGATACTGAATTTAAATTACAAGGTTATTAAATAGTTTAGCACTTAAGTGAAGACTAAAGATGGGCAAGGATTTTTCTTTTCTAAACACTTCTATATAGTTACTTGTATAACATGGTAAAGAAAAGGTGACATTTGTGTGAAATGGTTTTCCCATGCGTCGTTAATCAAGCTAATATGAACTATAAGCAATATCTGTTGCTTACATTCTCATCATCAGCTATCCTGCCTTTTAAACTTCCTTGAAATTATTTTTAGCTATTCATCTGTACTTGTAAATAACAAAACTCAGTTAAACTGAACCGCAGGTATCTGGTCCTACATAGCTCCCTGCAGGGAGGGGAAAGGGGCTGTAGAGCAGGTGGAGGTGAAGGGAGTGGGAGGGGAGCAGGCATCTCATCACTCGGTTCTGATCTTCCTTGTCCTTCCCTCATTTTCCATTCTTCAAGATTAGTTGAGTGTCAGTTATATGCCAGGCAGGGTAATGGCACTGGGGAGCCAGTGATGAAACAGATACACTCTGGGTCTTTTCAGGAGCACTGAATTTGTAGGGAGAGAGTCTGCTGAGCTAGGAATTCAAGAATATTCTGGCTGGGTATGGTGGCTCACAACTGTAATCCAAGCCCTCAGGAGACCAAAGCGGGCAGATCATGAGGTCAGGAGTTTGAGACTAGCCTCACCAATATGGTTAAATCTCATCTCTACTAAAAATACAAAAAAACCCAGCCTGGTCTTGAACTCCTGACCTCAGGTGATCCGCCCACCTCAGCCTCCCAAAGTGCTGGGATTACAGGCGTGAGCCATCGCGCCCGGCAGGTTTTAGTTTTTATTTTTCTTACCATGCTTATGTTTCGCTCTGTCTTCTCAAACACATGGAGAACATTTATAAGTCCTGTTTCACATCCTTGTCTGCTAATTCTATCATTGTTTCCCTGAGAAAACATCTGTTTTTCTGAGTCTGACTTGCCCATTTTTGTTAAGATGAAAAATGTAATATTACTAAGATCTCCTCTGGGTGTACTTAGTCATCTTGAAAGTTGCACTAAGTTATCAATGGAGTATCAGAAAATAAGACCTTTGGAAAAAGATCTAAATATGTTTAGCTCAATAGCACTCAATGCAATATGAAATCACAGTTGATATTGGACGGAAAATTTTAAGGAACAGAAATTCAATCTCTCATATCAACATAAACATCAGACACAAACCATAATTTACCATGCACTGACTACTTCCTATTTTTCTAAAGAGAATGTTTAAAAGTTTGAGCTGAATTATATGACACAATATAATTGCATTTCCACAAGTTTTTGATTTAAATAGCCTACATGTTAAAACAAGGACCTCTTAGATTTACTTAAGAGTTTTACATAAACACAAAAAATGTTCTAGACTAACTGTTTCAATTTTAGAAGCACCATGTGGACACATAGCCTTTAAAAGATATTAAAATTGTGTAAAGTACACATGCAGCTTAACCTTTACTTACTTGTTTTTGAACATTTTTTTAATTTAAATTATTTTCTTCAAACTTGACCTGAAATAAAAATAGCTATCTCCACCAATAGAACATTCAAGCTGGGGCAGGACGAAGACAAGGCTTGAATCCGTAGGTCCTGGGTAATTCCTTGGCTAATATTTTCCCCAGGCTGCAACTAAAATCCAGCTTCCGTGAGTAGAGAGGAGTGTTGTCATTTGGTTATTTCCACCAAATTAAAAACTTAATGCTTTCACTGAGTTAAAATGGAATCCTGCTTAAGCCAAAGTCAGTCAAAACTCTCTCTCTCTCTCTCACACACACACACACACACAAATTAGCCAAGCATGGTGGCATGTGCCTGTAACCCCAGCTATTTACTCCAGCCTGGGTGACAGAGTGAGACTCTGTCTCACAAAATAATAAAATAAAATAAAATAAAATTCTAGTACTTTCCACAGAAGAAGTCAGGCCAGGCGTGATGGCTCATACCTGTAATCCCAGCACTTTGGGAGGCCGAGGCAGGTGGATCACCTGAGGTCAGAAGTTCAAGACCAGCCTGGCTACCATGGTGATACCCCATCTTTACTAAAAACACAAAAATTAGCCAGGCGTGGTGGCAGACATTTGTAATCCCAGCTACTTTGGAGGCTGAGGTGGGTAAATTGCTTGAACCAAGGATGCAGAGGCTGCAGTGAGCTGAGATTGTGCCATTGCACTCCAGCCTGGGTGACAGAGTGAAACTCTGTCTTAAAAAAAAAAAAAAAAAAGTCAAATAGTGCTATTAAAGGAGAAAAATTGCTGCATGACAGGAATAAGAAAAGCCTTCATGGAAAAGGTGATGTTGAAAGCCCCAACTTAGTTGCAGCTTTCCAGAAAGAAGGAAGAGAGAGAATCACAAGCAGAAGGAAATTGAAGCAAGGCTGAGTCTCAGAGTGCAGCTTCTCTGGAGCTCGAGGTGAAGGCAAAGGCACAAGGAAGGACTGTGTGTGTCTGAGAGTAGGGACAGGAGGATCCACTGGGGTTGGACCTTTTCCCCCCCTACTCTGTCACCCAGGGCTGGAGTGCAGTGACTTGATCTCGACTCAGTGCAGCCTCTGCCGCCCGGGTTCAAGAGATTCTCCTGCCTTGGCCTCCTGAGTAGCTGTAATTATAGGTGTGTGCTGCCATGCCCAGCTAATTTTTTGTATTTTTAGTAGAGACAGGGTTGCACCATGTTGGCCAGGTTGGTCTCGAACTCCTGACCTCAGATGATCTGCCCGCTTCAGCCTTCCAAAGTGCTGGGATTACAGGCCACCACACCCAGCAGGACCATTTTTAAAAAGAAAGCAGACAGGCCAGGCAGTGGCTCACACCTGTAATTCTAGCACTTTGGTAGGCCGAGGTGAGTGGATCACAAGGTCAGGAGTTCAGGACCAGCCTGACCAATATGGCACAACCCTGTCTCTACTAAAAATAATAATAAAAAAATTATCCAGGCATAGTGGCACTCACCTGTAATCCCAACTACTCGGGAGGCTGAGGCAGGATAATCGCTTACTTGGGAGGTAGAGGTTGCAGTGAGCTAAGATTGTGTCATAGCACTCCAGCCTGGGTGACAGAGTGAGACTCTGTCTCTAAATAAATCAATTAATTAAAGCAGACAAAAATCAATCAGCAACAACAAACTCCCCTGTATGCTACGCTGAGGAGTTTGGACTTTCTTCTAGGATGATGGGATGTCAGGGGAGGGTCTGCTGGAGACACCCATGATCACTTCCCTCCCAGCACAGGAATTCTGTGATTCTCAGGAGCAGGAAGGAACTGCCTGACCTCTGTATGCTGTGAGAATTGCTCACACTCTTGCTTCACTGAGCTCTCTGCTCACACATTACCTCTTCCTCTCCTGTCTAACCTCATGAAAACAGCATGCCCAAGACTTTCTACTCCTCATCTGCCTTTATTTTTCTACCTAGAACTTCCCAAGTATTTCACTTATCTGTGTGGTGTTTGTCTCCCCCACAGGTATATAAGCTCTATGACAACAGCGACTTTGTCTTATTACTATTGGTCCTCACGGTGCCTTGTACTGTGCCAGCCATATAGAAAATGCCTGTAGATTCTTGAATGAGTGAAGAGTGATGCAAATCTCCCACAAATCACGGTCCAAGACCTTGGAAACTCACAGTCTCGGATTCTAGAAAGAGAACTTTGCAGTCTCTAAGGGGCTCTTGCAGCCCAGGTTGAGAGATGGTGAATAAGAAGTCTCAAGAGGCTCTCTAAACAACAACAGCTTTCCAAACACGTTGGCAAATCCCAACCCTTACAATTCTGTTTCTGTCTGTTCCCCAGAGCCAGCCTTTGATAATGGAAAGGCAGGGCTGAGATAATGTTCTATTTTAGGGTTGTTAGAACTTAGCCAAAGATCTCACCAGGGCAAGAGGAAGAAGCCTAGATCTTTCCTCTAAAATGTAGTCCAAAGCCAGAGCTTGGACTAGAAAAGCTGGTGATTTCCTGAATGTGCATGAGACCTCAAAATGGGCAGGTCATGTCCCTCAGGAGATCACATGGGTCTCATGATGCCTCGGCCTTAGCGTATCACTTTCAACTTCACAGCATCTTCCATGCTAGGCTCTGAAGGGACATAGGGCCACCATGGTACAGTAGAGCCTTCATCAACAAGCTTCCTAGACAAGTGTCGCTCTTGGGGGTAGTTCTTTGGATCTCTAGGAGTCTGCTGATGTAGAGTGGCCAGAGTCCAGAAACTTCTCGGAATTGGTCACGTCTTCTGCTTTCCCAAGCCACATGGCTAGAATCATCTTAAATTACTAGAAAAACAGACAAATCTCAATGATCTGAAAACCGGTGGCCTTGTTTCTAGGTCTTTACCATTTGAGAACCAATCAATGTGTTCCTGTTCCAGGCAACCAAAACCTCATGTCCTGGATATGCAAGGAAAACAGAGTCGTGCCTCTTTTGCCTGGCATATGAGTGACTTCGAGGACACTGATCGGAGAAATTCCAAATGGGCTACTCTTGTTAGGCAGAGTAAGTCACTAATGCCAAGAGCTTCCGAGCCGTCTAAGCTGCCCGAAGCTACCAAAAAAGGAAAAGGTACGATTTTTTGCTTTTCTAAATCGTCATAGAAAATGTCAGGCTGCTTTAACATATAAATTGGGGCGGGGCTTTTCATACTAATACTAAGTTTGATAGCTTCTTTTAAACCATCGAAGCATTTTGTAATCCATATTGGATTGCCACAGTGATGTTTATTCAGTGGGTAAGTGGGCATCATTCCCCTTTTATAGTTAAAACAAGGGGTTGCGTCCTCAGAATTTCTTATCACTAGGTTTGACCTCGAGATAACAGCCATTCCTGTGATTTCCAAGAACCGAGAAAGCATTGTTTGTGAAATGGAGGTAAATCTGTAGCTCCCCTCAAACCCCTCACAGACTGGTTCGCAGAGCAAACTTATACCCGTTTGAATGCTAGGATTTCCCCTGAACTACTTATGGAATCATGGGCAAGCTGCCTAATTCCCTGTATGGGTTTTTATAAGTAAAATGGGGGTTTGGGTATCTGTTCTGAATATTTCACAGAGTTAGGAGGAGAATTAAGTAAAGAATGTGGAAGTATATATTCAACAACTATTTCCTGAGGTCTGTGTACAAACCATTCGCCAATAATAGCTTTCTGCCTAATCCCACAGCACAATGAACTTTGCAGGCATCCAGTTTTCTCAATGGAGTTTGACAGCAAATTTCCATGATAGAAAAAGGAATAGAATCACTCAGGCCCATTCTGAGACTCCTGTTCCCCACACATAGAAAGACTTCTTGCTCTTTTGGAGAATCTTGCCAACTCACTAGAATGTTACTCACCCTCTGTTGCCAGAGATCTGATTCATTAGCAAGTAATTATGTCTACTTGAGACATTCTGTGCAGGAGGGAGACTTAGTTGTCCACCTCAGAAGATGCTGACCTTAGGAATAGTTCGTATTGAAAAAGGGAACAGTTCAACAAATAACATTTCTATGTAGTCTGAATTTTGGGATAGGTCCAAATGAAGTGATTTATTGCCGTGTGTGGAGGAGGGCTTGGATTAGTTACTTTCCATCACTGAACTAATTTTGTGTCAGATTAGAGCTATTACGGATTAAATTATCCCAAACGCCTCTATCATTCACCAAAGCCAGTTGAGATATTTTTTGCATTAAGAAAGTCTGTTAAAAGACTTCTTATTTTGATTTCAAATTTGTAGAGCAAGTTGTAACAACAGCACAAAGAGCTCTGAATGTACTCTTTCCCCAGCCCCATCTGTTGTTCATTTTATTCGCCTTAGTGTTTGCTTTCTTGCTCTCTGTCTTGCACCATTTGAGGTCACATTGCAGACATGATGCCCCCCCAACTTCTCCTGTCTTTTTTAAAAAGATATGGTGGTCTCACTGTGTTGCCCAGGCTGGAGTGCAGTGGCTACTCAAGGTGCATAACCACAGTGCACCACAGCCCTGAACTCCTGGACTCAAACGATCATCCCACCTGAGCCTCCCGAGTAGCTAGGACTATAGGCACAGACCCTGTGGATTAAATGGTCTACAGGCTAGACCCTTCACTCCTAAATATTTCAGGGTGTATTTCCTAAGAACAAGGATGCTCTTCCACCCAACCACAGTATAACGTATAAGATTCAGGAAATTTAACATTGATACAGTGTATTATTATCTAATCTAAAGTTCATAGTCGTATTTTCTTAAATAGCAGATGGTGGTGGTTTGCACCTATAATCCCAGCACTTTGGGAGGCTAAGGTGGAAGGATCACTTGAGCCCAGGAGTTTCAGAGCAACCTGGGCAACATAGTGAGACCCTGTCTCTACAAAAAATATTAAAAATTAGGCAGGTGTGGTGGTACACGTCTGTAATCCCAGCTACTCAGGAGGCTGAGGTGGGAGGTTTGCTTGAGCACAAACCTTCAAGTCTGCAGTGAGCTATGATTTTGTCACTGCTCCTCCAGGCTGCATGACAGAGAGCCTGACTGTTTTAAATAATAATAACAATAGCAACAACAAGGTATTAACTGATAACCTTTGTTATATCTGGATCCAATCTAGGACCATGTATTACATTTAGTTATCATGATAGTCTCTTCAGTCTCCTTCAATTTGGAAGAGTTCCGCAGTCTGGTGTTTTATAACATGGACATTTTTGAGGAATGTAAATGGGCTTGTCTGATGTTTCCTCAAGAGTGGGTTCAGGTTATGTGTTTTTGTCAGGAATCCCAGAGAAGTGACGTAGCTGTATGCTCAGTGCATCACATCAAGAGGCACCTGAGGCTGGTTTAACCCATTATTCATGAGAGTAAGTTGAGCACTTGGTCATACGCCATTCCAGAAATGAACAACATACTGAATCATTCAAAATAATTTCTCTTTATATCAATGAGGCTTTCTTCTAAATTTCCAGAGATACATTAGATACTTGTCACACAAGTTCATTTTTTGGACTAACCTGCAGAGTTTGTGTGGATGCTTCAGTAAATAATCCCTCTTTTACATGAATCCTCTTCAAGGAAAATAAATTGGGACAAGTGCTCTTATATATTCAAGAGCAAATAATGAATACCACATGTGAAAAAGCCTCCAGCGCAATGCCTCACACAGAGCCGCCAGTGAGTGGCTATCATTACTATTCTTACTTGAGATGCCAACGCATTTTGCATTCTTATGCTGCAAGAATCAGAACCATGCCCTGAAAGCCTCTAAAAAGTAGAAATTTGTCTGTGTTACTGGGCCACTTGGGGGAAATTTTAAAAGCTTAGACCTATAGACAGTATCACAAGCTTTCTTATCAAAAGAGATGGTTGAGAAGGGAGATATTTTATATTGATGCTTTTGAGTTTGGTTTTCCATTTATAAACAAGTTTAGAGAGCTTAATTACAGTGTTTCTAAAAACTATAATTTAGGGGATTTAACAGTATGTATCATTCTTGTATACATTCACCAAAAAATGTTCTTATAAATGCTTTTGGAAATTCATTTAGTCTCTAAACTGCTTCTTCTATAATGTCCCAAATCTCTCTTTTTAAATCACAAACTGTCTATTAAGTTCTATCTTCTATTCCATTCATTATTTCCCCATTCCGGATTTCCGATAGTTCTTTTCCTTCATGTAATAGCTACCCAAGTGTTGTAAAATTTATGTACATGTGATAGACACTTTTAATGTAATTCATTTCTTTGCTGGCAAATATTCTCATTGTCTTCCTTCATTCCAATACATGGACATCAGTCTCATGATCATTCTTTTCCTCATCCACTCGAGTTTGAGAGCAGTACTCTTAAATTTTAAAGGTCATATGCATCACCTGGGGATCATGTTAAGATGCAGATTATAATTCAGTAGGTCTGAAATGGGTTTGAGATTTTGCATTTCTGTCAAGCTCCTAGGAAGTGCAGTTAGTTGTTGCTGGTGTGGGGACCTTGAGGAGCAAGGGGCTGGAGGACTGACAATGAATTCAATTTTGTGCTAGGAACAGGAAGGACTTGATGAGGCAAAGGGAAGAGGGAACGGAGGGGGATTTGGTGAGGCAAAGGAAAGTCTATTCTAGGAAGAATCCACTTAACAGGGCAAAGACAATGATAACCTAGCACCTCTGGGGAAGTATATGTGGTTCAGTGTGGCTGAAGATAGAACACAAGAGTTATCTGGCGATGAGGCTGGAGATGAATCAGCTGGGTCATTTGAGTGCCCAGGGCTGGGCTTTTATTTTTTTTTGAGATGGAGTCTCATTCTGTTGCCCAGGCTGGAGTGTAGTGGTGCAATCTTGGCTCACTGCAGCCTCCGCCTCCTGGGTTCAAGTGATTCTCCTGCCTCAGCCTCCCAAGTAGCTAGGATTACAGGTGCACACCACTACGCCCAGCTAATGTTTGCATTTTTAGTAGAGACAAGGTTTCACTATGTTGGCCAGGCTGATCTCAAACTCTGACCTCAAGTGATCCACCCACCTTGGCCTCCCAAAGTGTAGGGATTACAGGCGTGTGCCACAGCTCTCAGCCTAGGCTGACCTTAAATAAAGAAGTGACAGGGTTAAATTTTCATTTTAGAAAGATGGAGGCATCAGCTGGGAGGACTGATTAGAGCTGCTTGATTACGAAAAGGTGGTGTGTTTGGAAGGCATTTCGGTAACTCAATTGAGAACGAGGAAGGATTGTTGTAAGGCTGAAAGAAAGGCGCAAACGTAACGCATTTGAGACATAAGGAAGGTTGTTTCGACAGCTTTCAGTGCTGACTAGACGTGGGAAAAAAATTTGTTATTGTGGGAGGAAGGATATAGAGGCTGAACCCTCAGATCTCTGTGAGGTGGTGGGGAGTGGGAGCCAGGTGCCAGCACATAGAGAATGAATAGGAAGCAAAGAAGTGAAAGGCAAGTAAAGCTCTCTAGAAAATGTTTAGCTCTCGATAAAGGAAAGACAGGATAAAAAGAGGGGACATAGGAGAAGGAAGAACTTAATATAAGGGGCTTTAAAAAAATACGTTTTGAGTAGAAAAAAGTAAATTGAGAACCTAAAGGTGAGGGAAGGGGATAACTGATGGTTTGAGATCCTCAAGAAAAAAGAGGGAGAGGCATGACTTATAGGAATTAATATGTAACTGTAGGGATGAATCTTTATAGGAAGGGAACTCTTTTCCTCCCCACCTGCCCCTGCCTTTTTCTTTGAGTTGGAGTCTCGTCCTGTCACCCAGTCTGGAGTGCAATGGCACGATTTCAGTTCACTGCAGTCTCTGCCTTTCAGGTTCAAATGATTCTCCTGCCTCAGTGTCCAGAGTAGCTAGGATTACAGGTGCCTGCAACCACGCCCAGCTAATTTTTTTATTTGTAGTAGAGATAGGGTTTGACCATGTTGGCCAGGCTGGTCTCGCACTCCTGACCTCAGGTGATCCACCTGCCTCAGCCTCCCAAAGTGCTGGGATTACAGGCATGAGCCACCATGCCCAGACTTTTCCTCCACTTTTAACAAAATGTTACCTTTTTCCTTCTCAGAGGGTTGCTTCTGTTTTTCAGTTCTTTTTAACACATATTCAGACTGTGTGACATCTATGTCAACCTTTATGGGG